GAAGGTTTTCGATCACCCTACAGCCTAAACCTTGAGCTCCTAAACCCCTAAACCCTAAACCCTAAAATCCTGAACCCCTAAACCCTAAACCCTGAACCCCTAAACCCTAAACCCTAAAACCCTGAACCCCTAAACCCTGAACCCCTAAACCCTAAAACCCTAAACCCTAAAACCCTAAAACCCTAAACCCTAAAACCGAAGCCTCGACAGCCTGAATACCGAAACCCGAGCAGATCTAGTGCCCTGGAATCAGAGGAAAGAAACCCATGGAAACCAGAAAGCTATTCCTCAGGGCTCCTTACAACCTAGCGGAATTTAGGGTTTAGGGTTTAGGGTTCCCCTATTAGGGTTTAGGGTTTAGGGTTTAGGGTTTAGGGTTTAGGGTTTACCCTAAACCCTAAACCCTAAACCCTAAACCCTAAATATCATAAAACCCCATGTTATGTTTCGAGGCCTGGAGGTCTATGGCTGCCCTTCTAATTTCCCTGGTTTAGGGTTTAGGGTTTAGGGTTTAGGGTTTAGGGTTGGGGTTTAGGGCTCAGGGATTAGGGACTACTTACACCATAAACCCTAAGCTTGGAATCCTAAACCCTAGACCCTGAACCATAAACTCAAATCCTGATACCCCTTGCCGTTCCTTCGTCTGAAAGAATCCAACAAGTCGGCTGCAGCATTTGTCCACAGCAAACCCACGGTTTAATGCTTAGGGCAGGGGGTTTCGAGATTTATTTACCAAGAGGCTCGATATGTACTAGTATTTTGGGACTAGGTTCCCAAAACCATAATGGGGAGGGTCTTTTGGGACCTAATTCCATGATTGTAGTATACTTGGGTATTAACCCCTCTGGGTTGATCGGCCACTACCCGCACATACACATGGGTACTTCTCTAGATTAGGGTCCTTTTTATAAGGGTGCCGTACTATTTTGGGGACCCAAAAAAGGACCCTAAGTTAGAGAGAACTACCCACATGCATAGTTGCAGGCAGTGAGCTGTGAAGCCTTACGGATCCGATCTGCGCGATAGTACCTAAACCCTAAACCCTAAACCCTAAACCCTAAACCCTAAACCCTAAACCCTAAACCCTAAACCCTAAACCCTAAACCCTAAACCCTAAACCCTAGTATAGATCTCTTCAAGGAGCCCCCAAACTGCATAGGATTAAGAGGCTCGCCCACCTTCTCCACCTCCACCGCTGAGAAGCCGTTCACCGCCGCAAGAATCGCAATCTCGTGTAGGTCGGTATGCCTGGTTCAGGGTTTAGGGTTTAGGTTTTGGGGGGTTTGGCTTGGATTAAGAGGTCTAGCGCTTGGGCTTTAGGGTTTCAGAGGTTTCAATGGAGGCCCGACAAACATCGAACAACAACATCGACAGTACTCAGGACAACAAATGCTGTAGTAGTTACTCCATGTCAAACCTTAACACGAGGACAATCATCAAGAAGAACAAGAAGCAGAAGCAGAAGAAGAAGGGGAGATTCACAACACAAACCCGAAACCCTAAACCCTAAACCCTAAACCCTAAACCCTAAACCCTAAACCCTAACACAAACCCGAAACCCTAAACCCTAGTGTAAAGGAAGGTCTCGTCTGGGGTCTCTAGGAGTCTTTAAATATATTTAGGGTTTAAGGTTTAGGGTTTAGGGTTTAGGGTTTAGGGCTTCTCTGGGTCTTTCCGGCTCCTACCAAGTTCATTCCGCCACTTGGGTTTAGGGCTTTGGGCTTGGATCTCTAAAGAAAGCACAATGTTTGCACAACCGACCTGTAGCAGTTGTGGCTACTTACGCAATGCCCTCCTAATGAAGATGTCTGCAAATGCTGGACCACCAGGTAGCTCAGCGCACTTGAACTTTGTAACTGAACGGGAACCAGACTAAGCCCGGAACCCTAAACTCCAAGCGCTACACCCTAAACTTTAAACCCCAAGCTCCCTAAACCCTAAACCCTAAACCCTAAACCCTAAACCCGAAACCCTAAACCCCTAAACCCTAAACCCTAAACCCTTAACTCTAACATGATGACAAGATCCCACTGCCAAACTGATGATGCCTGGGCAGGTAAAGTGCTACTCGCGGGCTGAGCTTGGCTGCGGCGGCAAAAAGGTGCACGATGTCCGGAACCTGGCGCAAACCCAGGGTGAGTCTAAGAATTTAGTAGTGGGTGGAGAGTGAAGGCACAGGGTTCCGCTCGCGGACGTTTGTAAGGACCAGGGACACAGTTGTCCATTGATCTACCCCGCCTACACCCATACAAAAACTATTGCAAGACCTCGTAAAGCCCTTTCAGAACGGTTTAACACCCCTGATTACACACTAATGCCCCAATACCTGAGACCCTAAGCCCTAAACCCTAAACCCCAAGCCCTACACCCCAAACTCTAAACCCTAAACCCTAAACCCCAATCTCTAGACACTAGACCCTAAAACCCTAAACCCTAAGCCCTAAACTCTAAACTCTAAACACTAGACGCAAACCCTAAACCCTAACCACGACTCCTCGGATAGCCGCCTGCACATCCCGCAAGGAGAAGTGGTTGGACTCCAAGTGGCCAGGGCCGCCCCAAGGCCTTTGGGTTCGCACGGCGTCAAGCTTCAAGGGTTCAAGGCGCAGGGTTTTGGGTTTAGAAGCTCGCTTAGAAAAGTTTAAGGTGTAGGGTTTAGGATTTAGGGGGATTTAAGGTTTTCAGGGCTTGGCATTTAGGTTCGAGGGTTCAGGATTGCAGCTTTAGGGCTAAGGAGTTGTGTTTCATATAGGGACCTTAATAAAGTAGAATAGGGTTTTGGGGCATACTATACTATAACTATAGTAAGGAACCCCACCCAAAAAATAGTGTAGGTTATTATTAACGCCCCTGTACTTCCTGTACTAGGGTGCTGGGCTGGAGAACTCTTGTGCCCAGCCGGCCAGCAATGCCAAAGAATGACGCAGCACCCAATATAGGGGCCTTAATAACTAGAATAGGGCTTTGGGGGTATCATACACCCCCCAAACCCTATTCTAAATGTAAGGCCCCTACATCACGCACAAAGCCAAGAATCGGTGACAAGAACACCGCGTCAATCGGGGGCCCACTGTAGACCTGCACATGGCCGCGTGAAGGATCAGGGGACTTAGTACCTTGTCGGCTATGGTTCAGTGTTGACTGCTCTAATCGGCGTTAGCCCACTCATAATCTTACTTCTAACTTCCCTACTTAACCCTAAACCCCCAACTTTAAGCCCTAGACACCTAAACCCTAAACCTCCACGAGAACCACAACTGCAGCTGCTCTGCTGCTGTTTCTGCTACAGGTACTGCTGCGGCTGCTACTGCTAAGATAACCACCATCACCATTACTTTTACCAGAACGACGACAACTGTCCGCCGACTAGGTAATGCCGGTTCGCCCCACACGATCCATAGCCAACGTAGCTTCTACACTCTTTTTACAGATTCTTTGTCAACAAACATTCCGCACGAAGCAATGAACTTTATACTTGCAATCGCGGCTTCAGCCAGTCGTTCACAAAGCTGGGCAATGTGTGCGATGCATACTCCATCCATTGGTTCATTTAACTTCCGACACGATCATAGCTGACGTAATTTTCTACACTTGTTCACAGACTTTTGTCTAAAATTCTATCCGCACGAAATCAAAAAATGCTAAAAACTAGTGTTTGAGCGAGTTGTGCACGAAAGCCAAGAATGCCACAAAAGAACTACTGCGACTACATCTGCTCCTGCCCTTTCGGTATAGGGTTTGGCACCTTCAAGAGAGAAAAGCACACCATCCCAAGTGAAAAGCCTCGGCGAAATGCGCGAAGTCGTCGTGGACAAAATCGATGCGATCAGCCACGCCGTAGATTCCGGCATTGTGTCTGGTGAGATGTCGAGGATTGGGAGGTAAGCTTGATTTACGCTTTGGGCTTAGACTCTGGGGAGTTTTTTAATTCAGATGCAGGGGTAAGCAAGCGCACTAGTGTTCCAATATGTTGAAGGATCAGCCGGGTACTGACCTTGAGTGCCACATATCTTGATGTTCAGGCCAGCGCATGTCAGCAACACTACTCTGAATGACAGCCAACGAGTCTGGCACCTGCGAGAAAACGACGACAGCCCACCAACATAACACCGAAAACCTGTGCCATCGCCAACATCACCACGCTCGCCACACACACCACGCCACCAACAACAACACAACCACCACCGCCACCACCACCATGGCATCGCCATCGTCAACACCAGAATCGCCACTAGCAGCTCCATCATCGTGATCACTCCCCAAATATCATGACCAGCAGCTCGGTACCCGTGAGTTGATGTCACGATTGTTGCACGTTCGATTTCACATCCAAACACAATCAACCGAAGAACCCACACCAACTGCAAGCGTCAATGTAAGCAAAACATAGACTGCGATGGCATACACGCCCAACGGCATGACACAAACTAGCAGGCAGCTGATAATGCAGCAGCAAAATCGTCAATGTTTCTATCTATAAGGTATCAGCACACATCGGTGAACCTACACCGACACTTTCCTGCAACACACAAACACTTCGTGTAGCAACCCTATACCCTATACTCACGTAGCAGACCACAGGTGTGCCAGGGACCACCAAAACCCTCAACCCCCACACCTTAAACCCTAAATCCCAAGCATTAAACAACCTCTAGAGCCTGAAAACCCTTCGTCGTGAAACCCCATGGTCCTGCAACCGGGAAACCTTCAAAATCGAAAAACGCCTAGATGTTAAAGCTCGAAACCCTAGCATCGATGCCCTAAATTGCAAGTTTGAGAAGCCCTTCTAAAACTCTTTTTAAAACCTCAGAAACCCGCCTGAACCCTTCTAAAGCCTGTTACAACCGCATCAATGCATATACACTCACATAAACCCTACACTACCTCCCAAACTCTAAACCCTAAACCCTGAACTCTAAACCCTAGGCCCTGAACCCTAAACCCCTAAATCCCAAACCCCTAAACCCTAAACACTAAACCCCGAGCCGATCCAGGGCCTCGCATCGGATAGACGTCCGGGATCCGTGTCCACGGCAACGACACTCCGCGAGGTCAACGCGAACCTGGTTTAGGGGCATACAGCCCGGGGCCCAGGGACTCCAATATCCCTTGATTAAGGAATATACCTTAAATCATATTAGAGATCCTACTACAATTTAAGGTATATTCCTTAATTAAGGGATATTGGAGCCTCTGAGAGCTTAGGGCCTACAGGCCTACAGGGGTTCTGGAAAAGCTTATAAGCTATTACTTGCGACTTATAGGGGTCTTATGAAGGCCAAGGGCTTCGTCTATTGAGTCTACTGGCTTGCGTGAGCCGGTTGCGTTATTGTTCTGTAGCTGTTGCAGGCTTGGTTCCTTGTAATGTCTTCAAGGGTGCTATATATTCGGGTTTCTTGCACTGCTTCGGAAAGGAGGGAGTGGATTCGATGTTGCCAAAACTTTTATAAAACTCTCAACACCCCAGGACACCCTGCTAGGACTACCTGTACCCTGCAAGCACTCTAGGGGAGGCGCAGTGGCTCTAATCGTTTGGCTTGGGCAGTACAGCGTGCAACGCTTGACGAGAGTAGGTCCTGCTGTTTGTTGTGTGATACAGATAGTCAAGCAAGAAGAACAAGAAGAAAAACAAGAAGAAGAGCAGCATCATCAGTAGCACCATCTACCGCTTAGAAGATAGCAGAAACCAACGCTAGAACAGCAGCAACAGCGACCCGCTCTGTTTCCACAGAAAAACACCGGCAGTGTCAACAGCAGCAGAAGAACCGACACCTCCCCCGATGCACGATCAGAACTCCTTCAGAAAAGGAACGGCCAACATGGCGACGACGATGATGATGACGATGATGATGACGCCGATGATGATGACGATGGCGATGACGATGGCAGTGACGACGACGATGATGATGCTGGTGATGGTGACTGTTATTATTCAGATGATGATGGCACAGATCCTGGCCGAAGGGCTGTATCGCGTTGCCGCCCACGCCACAAGTTCCATCAACCTCGTCTACCCGCCCCGGGTTGAAGTAGAGTTCAGGTCTGGCTTGCTGAATGGCTAAGCTTGCTTGAGGGGCGGGCCTCCCCCAAAACCCTAAACCCCCTAGGCTGAAGTCTACATTACCTGGAGCCCCCATGATCCAAAAACCTCACATGAAACCCAAACAACCCTCGTTTCAAAGGACGTTCAGGTTCCAGAATATAGGGGCCTAAATAAAGACTTATACTATTTTGGGGGTTCCTTGCTATAAGTATAGTATAATGGGCCCCCAAAAACCCTATTCTAATTATTAGGGCCCCTATATTATTAGTTTCGTGGAGGGTCCGTTTCAGGGCAAGACCAACTTGGCGATTCTCAAGTCCTTACGACATGTGGCTTCAGGGTTTAGGGCTTGGGCTTTTGGGTTTGGATCCTGCAGTCACACCCTCACCAACATTCCTCAGGAGAACTATTCATACTCACCCAAAAAATATCCTCAAAACCTCCTTCGCATGAAAAGCTGAAGCCTCCAACCCTAGACCCTAAACCTTCAACCCCAGCCTCACACAACAACTGCTGGACAAAAAATATGAAACTCGAGATGCAACCCTATAATCTCCGCACCTAGGTCTCAACCCAGGCACCACCCGGTCGAAGCTCAGGCGATCCGCGATGTGCCGCGCGACAGACTCTGGGGTGACCTCGAACCAGGCTCCTGCAGCAGAAGACGTAGCAAAGACAAAACAAACAACAACAATCATTCGCCGGTATTTACAGTTGAAACATAACCCTATGTGCATAGACCCTAGGAACAGACTCCTGCGTCCATCCGAACTCCCTCGTCGAAGCGGGCGAAGTAGTTGTAGCGGCGCTTCCAATACCTAAGGTGATTTAGGCCTTCAAAGGCTCCCTTAAGGGTATCCTTTAAGGGGCTCCTTTGATGGTATCCTTTGATGGCATCCTTCCTCGGTATGCTTTAGGGGTTCCTTTAAAGGCATCCTTTCAGTGTTCCTTTATGGGGCACCGTAGGTTTTGGCATTTAGGTTTCCGCTCAGGGCTCCTGTAGACCCTAGATACATAGGAGTCCTATGAAGGTAGGTAGATTTAAAGGGTTTCGGGCTTTGTGGACTTCTGAACCCCAGGCCCTAAACCCTAAAC